AAAAAAAAAAAAAAAAAAGGGAAAAACACGCGATTTGTCTTTTAGTCCTGAGGCGCCAGTCCCAGGCACCCACTTACTGGTCCTGCTGCCCTGCCTCCCTAGCACCAGGGTCCCTGTCCCTTTAAGGCTTCCAAGAAGTACTCACCAAAAAGAGAAAAAAAAAAAAAGGGGAAAAACACGCGGTTTCCTCCGTCCTCAGGTGCCGTTCTCAGGCACCCGCCCACCGGCCCGGTAGGGAGAAACGCGCGATATTCTTTGTCCTCAGGTGCCGGTTCCAGGTACCTGCTCACCGGTTCCGCCACCCTGCCTCCCTAGCAACGGGGTCCCTGTCCCTTTAAGGCTTCCAAAAAGCACTCGCCAAAAAAAAAAACTGCTCTGGTTTCTTTCCACCCGCCGGGAGCAGTGGGAAGGGGCGCTCGGGTCCCGCTGGGCTGGGGCTTGTATCTTATCCCCTTCGCAACGCACTGGGTTCTTGCAGGTGTGGATGTGGTCTGGATGTTGTCCTGTGTCCTGTGGTCTTCATTTTAGGAAGATTTTTCTTTGTTATATTTTCATAGCTCTATGTGTTTTTGGGAGTAGATTTCCACTGCTCTACTCACGCCGCCATCCTGGCTCCGCTCCAAATTCTGAATCTTTTTTAATCCCAAGCTTATTCCTCATGGTATCACTTCCCATCACCAAAGTAGAATTATGAAGGATTGTAGCTCATATATACAAAGCAATGAATAGTTACTTAGCAGTAATTATATAGGTACCTCTTTGCCACTTTGCAGAAACAAAAATAGAGTAGCCCTCTATCTGAAGAAGCTTAGCTTCATTGTAGAGGGCTAAGACAGTGGTAATGGAAAATTAAACAACATAGAGTTAAAAAGCAATATAGTGTATTAATACAACTGACATCTGAGGTTTTTAGCTTAAAAAAAAGGATTAAGTGATTAAGCAAATCATTCCCAGAGAAAGTCAGAAGATAAATCAGTTTAGATGCAATAATCTGCAGAGATCCAGCAGCGAAAAAAGTAGGACTTAAGGTGATGCCTCTGGAGTGATTAAGTTTTAGGCCCTATAACTCCAGTAATGACTTCCTACATTACATCACAAAGGATATGTTTAATAATATGGTAAGGAGAAGACCTGTCTTCAGGAAATGGAAGAAGGCTAATTTCATGCTATTTCTAGTGTGAAGTATTTATCAACCACTCCAATTTCCCACATCTCTGTAGGTCCAGTTGTCACTTGCATTTCAGAACTTACTTATAACTCAAAGATCCAGTTATTTGCAGTTAAGCTAACACATTTTATCAGGAAAAATGTGTTTAATGAAAGTGTTTAATTTGATTAGCTTGCTCTTATTTGAGCATATAACTACATAGTGAACTCTGTGCCTGCTCGATGTTTCATGGAAGAGGGTAAATGTTGCTGAGAGGGCTGGGCTTCTGCCTTGTACCCTTACCCCCAACCTCCCCACATACATATTTAAACCAGATTTCAGAGCAGATTTCAATTGGCACAAAGACTTCATTGTTTAAAAAGTCTTCAAATGATTGCTTTAGAATTAAAACAACAAATCTAGTAGAGGGGCATTTCTGGGGCTTTCAAAAATAGTGTTCTTTGCAACATTTCTGATGCTGGCTCTAGATTAAATTTTAAAATTGTTCATGGCTGAAATAATTTACATTTTGTGGTCAAATCCATGAAAAAGGTTTTGATGTTATTTCTAGGCATGTTTTCTTCTTGGAATATGGTTTTATTAATTTAACAATATCAACATCTTTTAACCTAAAATAGGGATGATAAAATAAAATTATGTATTATTTTTCTAAGTAGAAGAGATGAATTTGTTTCTGGTTAGAATCTTCTAATAATTTAGTGTATGTTCTTCTTTTATTTCCCGTGCAGTTGAGGAAGATTGGGGGCGGGGGCTTTGGAGAAATTTACGATGCCTTGGACATGCTTACCAGGGAAAACGCTGCTCTGAAGGTGGAATCAGCTCAGCAACCAAAACAGGTTCTGAAAATGGAGGTTGCTGTATTGAAAAAACTACAAGGTAAGCTGCTTTGTATGATACACCAATTTATAATTTATTTTTATCTTTCTGAACCTCAATTACATTCTCTTCTATTAATTGAATATTCTGGTGCCAGCTTGGTATAACATGCCAAGTATTTTTCTCTTAGAAAGTTTATCACTGGCTTGTAATAGTAGAATATTGATTGCTTAGAGATTAATTGGATTTTGGGAATTCCTTTTCATGGATAGTAAGGATGAAGGAGTGAATTACCTGAGATAATCATCTATAGGTATTTTCTTAACTCTGTTACAGTAAAACTTGATGGTTTTTTTAACAACCAAACATTAATACCTCTGAGTTGTTTCTACTCATGTCTTTGGATGTTAAACATGTTTTGATCACAGTAAGGAAGCTGCCTTTAAATTACAATGCAGATTAGGTTAAAAATAATACTATTTGTTATATGTTAACTTCATGACTTCAACATCATAGAATAACTGTCACTTTTGAGGTCAGTTTTACTACTTGGTTCCCTATTTTTTACAAGGATAAGTAGTTTTTTTTCTGACATAATCCAATGACAAAAAACCCTGAATACACTACTCATTTGTACTCATCTGTGTGTTTTCATTTTAATGACATAATCTGAAATTACTGATATTTAAATGTTATATCTAAATCAAAATTAAATGGGGATGATGGCACATGAAGTAGTCTTGTTAAGCTCTAGAAGGTTTGATATTGTTACAGGACATCTCTAGTACCTACAGGAACTTAGTACCAACATACAGAGCAAAGGAAGTTGCTGTAGTCAGTGGACATAACTGCAGTTGGTAGAAATAGCAAGTACAAAATACTTTGTACCCAAGGACCTTCAGATTCATGGCTGTGTAGCCTCTAAAGGTGAATGTGCTCTCCTTGTGGATCCATGATGTTTGTTTTCCTAGCAAGTTAGTTTCTATTAAGTTAATAAAATATGTGTTATATGTCTGACAGTATCTATTCTTTTAATCATTGCCCCTTTCCTTAAGCTGTCTGATTATCCAAGTTTCTGTATCAGTTGGTTCATTTGATTAGAGCACGATGCTAATAAAATTATAAATCTGTTTAATAGTCATGTTTAACCCATACTTAGCTTTCCTGAAGCATGTGAAATCAGGAAGACAATGGATAGATCAGCACCTATTGTTGCTAACAGAAAAAAAAACAGATAATTGCAGAAGGGAGAGTAAGGAAAAAGATGGCGCTTTCTTTTTCTCCTTTTTCCTTTCTCCCTGTTTTTTTGTTGCTGTTCTCAGCTCAGTTGACATAGAGGCCACAAACAGGTGCAGCTGGACCTGCTTTTTCCTGGGTTACAGAATCCCAAGAGATTTGTTTTACTCTCAACGAAGCCCATAATGGATATATCAGCATCAATTTGGCCTGGACAGTGCCACTTCACCAGTCTTCCTCTTACTCGGTCCTGAGGAGATGCTTCCAAGTGAGGCAGGATACAGCTCTGTAGCCCTTTCAGTAGGTTCTCCTGTATATTTTGGTATTGGTGTGCTCAGGATTCTGTGTGGTAAGGTTTGAAGATCAGTTTAATACATTTTAATGGATGAATTGGAGACCTTAGATACTAAGTCTCTCCTTTCCTTCTGACTATTTTAACTTTCATACTATTACCTAAAATATTCTTCCTGTCTGCTCATAACCACATGACAGCCTTGTCCTTAGATCTCTTCACTTTCCAAAAGTTAATAGGTTTTATCTTCTGGTCTGTATTTCTGTAAGGCAACCCTTGACTCTCTTTTCTTGGCTTCCTAATTTACGCCTTCTGCATACTTATGCCTCACAACTTTTGTTGAGGGTGCTCTGGCATCTGGATGCTTTTGAGAACATGTTAATGGGGATGAACTGCTCTTTGTTGGCATAATGACCTCTTACTCAGTAACCCCAATAAAAAGGCTAACTGTGTAAGGAAAAGATAGAAACAGGTGCTAACCCTTTATAAGGTAGGTTCATTTTATATTGGTGTTAAATTTTGGGGTGTTTTTGTTTTTATTTACTTATTGAACTATAGTTCATGTGCAATATTATATTGTTATATTATTTTCAGGTGTAGAACATAGTGATTCAACAATTATATGCATTACAAAGTACTTAGCCATGATGAGTACTTAACACTTATAATGTATAAGTACTTATACATTACAAAGTAGTTACTATCTTTCATTATACAAAGTTATTACTGTATTACTGACTATATTCCCTATGTTGTACTTTTCATTCCTGGGATTATTTTATTTTTCATATCAGTATTTTATAATTTATTTTTTTTGATAACCATTCTGAATGATGTGTGGTGATACCTCACTGTGGTCTTGATTTGCATTTCCCTAATTATTAATGATGTTGAGCATCTTTTTATGTGTCTGTTGGCCATCTGTATATCTGCATTGGAAAAATGTTCAGTTGCTGTGCCCATTTCTTAATCGGGTTATTTGTTTTTATGGTATTGAATTGTATGAGTTCTTCATATACTTTGAATATTAACCCCTTATCAGATATGTCATTTGTAAATTTATCCTCCTGTAGATTGCTGTCTCATTTTTGTTGATGGTTTCCTTCACCATGCAGAAGCTTTTTAATTTGATGTAGTCCCATTTGTTTATTTTTCCTTTTGCTTACCTTGCCTGGGGAGACATTATCTAGAGAAAACTTGATAAAGCCAGTGTCCAAGAGCTTACTGCCTATGTTTTCTTTTAGGAAATGTATGGTTTGAGGTCTTACATTTAGGTCTTTAGCCCTTCTCTATTTTAATTTTGTGTTTAGTGTAAGAAAGTGTATGTAGCTGTCCAGTTTTCCCAGCACGATTTATTGAAGAGACTGTCTTTTCCCCATTATATATTCTTGCCTCCTTTGTCATAAGCATGATTTACTTCTGGGCCCTCTATTCTGTTACATTGACCTATGTGTCTGTCTTTGTGCCAGTACCATACTGTTTTGATTACTATAGCTTTGTACTGTAGTTTGAAATCTCAGTATGTTATACCTCTAGCTTTGTTCTTTCTCGAGATTGCTTTGGCTATTTGGGGTCTTTTGTGGTTCCAAACAAATTTTAGGATTCTTTGTTATAGTTATGTGAAAAGTGCCAGTGGTATTTCGATGGGGATTGCATTGAATCTGTGAAGTGCATTAGGCAGTATGAACATTTTAAAAGCATTGATTTTTCTAATCCATGAGCTTCGTATATCTTTGCACTCATTTCTGTCATCTTCAAGTTCTTTCATCAGTGTATTATAGTTTTCAGAGTACCATCTTTCACTTCTTTGGTTAAATTTATTCCTAAGTATTCTTTTTTTTTTGAGAGGGCATCTCTCATATTTATTGGTCAAATGGTTGTTAACAATAAAATTCTGTATAGGGGGGTCAATGCTCAATGCACAGTCATTAATCCATCTCAAGCCTAGTTCTCTTCAGTCTCCAATCTTCTGAAGCATAACGAACAAGTTCTTACATGGTGAACGAATTCTTACATAGTGAATAAGTTCTTACATGGTGAACAGTACAAGGGCATTCATCACAGAAACTTTCAGTTTTGATCACACATTATGAACTATAAACAATCAGGTCAAATATGAATATTCATTTGATTTTTATACTTGATTTATATGTGGATCCCACATTTCTCCCTTTATTATTATTTTTATTTTTAATAAACTGCTGAAGTGGTAGGTAGATGCAAGATAAAGGTAGAAAACATAGTTTAGTGTTATAAGAGAGCAATTGTAGATGATCAGGTATGTGCCTGTAGACTATGTGCTAATCCGAGCTAGGTATTTATTCTTTTTGATGAAATTGTAAATAGAATTGTTTTCAAACTTCTAGTTTGAAACTTTCTAGTAGGCCATTATTAGTATATCAAAACAAAATAGATTTCTGTATATCAACTTTGTATTTTGCAACTCTACTGAATTCATTTATTAGTTCTAATACTTTTTATTGGTGGAGTCTTTAGTATTTAGTATTTTGTAACTTTTACTGAATTCATTTATTAGCTCTAATACTTTTTTTTGGTGGGTCTTTAGACTACTTATAGTATGTCATCTGCAAATCATGACAATTTTACTACTTCTTTCACAATTTGGATGCCTTTTACTTTTTCTTGTCTAACTTCTGTGGCTAGAACTTCCAGAACTATGTTGAATAAAAGTGGTAGGAGTGGACATCCTTGTCTTGTTCCTAACTTAGAGAAAAAGCTTTCAGCTTTTCACCATTTATTATGATGCTATTTTTGAGATTGTTGTGTATATCCTTGATTAGGTTGAGGTATGTTCCTTCTATACCTACTTTGTTGAGAGTTTTGATGATGAATTGATCTTGATTTTTGTTAAATTCTTTTTTTTATGACATGGTCATATGGTTTTTATTCTTCCTGTTGTTAATGTGGTATATCATTGATTTGCAGATATTGAACCATTCTGGGAATCCCACTTGATCATGGTAAATGATCTTTTTTAATGTATTGTTTAATTTAGGTTGCTAATATTTTCTTGAGGATTTTTATATCTGTATTTATCAGAGATATTGGTCTGTGATTTTATTTTTTTGCAGTCTTTCTCTGGTTTGGTATCAGTAATGCTAACCTCATAAGATGATTTTGGAATCATTTCTCCCTCTTGGAGTAGTTTAGGAAGGTTAGGTACTAACTCTTAAGTATTTGGTGTAGTTCACCTGTGAAGCCATCTGGTTGTGGACTTTTATTTATTGGTAGTTTTTTGATTACTAGTTCAATTTCGTTACTAATAATTGGTCTATTCAAGTTTTCTATTTCTTCCTGCTTCAATCTTGGGGGATTGTATGCTTCTAGGATTTATCCATTTCTTCTAGGTTGTCCCACTTCTTGACATATAACTTTTCACAGTAATCTCTTATAATCCTTTGTGTTTTTGTGGTATTGGTTGTAACTTGTCTTTTATTTCTGATTTTATGGATTTGAGTTTTCCTTCTTTTCTTCCTGATGGGTCTGGCTAATGATTTATCAATTTTGTTCA